TGCTTTAGAGGCCCACGCCTTTATTTTGGTGGGTACTGTAGTTATGAAGGTGTAGAGTCCTAACGAGCTGTGGACTTTAGACAGGATCGGCACATGTGACTAACTTTCTCTGAGGGATCATTTAACATGTAAATAAAGCCAAATTAACTGGCTTCACCTCTTTGTTTGAAACTCACACCTGGAGAGAGAAGCTGCTCACGCTGAACAACGTTAAAACCAGACAGTGAGTTTGTTACTGACACGGTCAAAAGCCGACAGACTTCCGATTCTACTCACAAAGTACACCGCTCCGAAGCTCCCGTGGCCGATCTCCCGGAGGTCGGTGAACAGCTTCTCCGGGTCATCTTTGCAGAACAGATCAGCCACCTCGGGGTCCTTCAGATTGCCCGCCCGCGCATTCGAGGGCATGGCCAGGGCCTGGAGGATGGAGAGAGAGCTCAGGTCAGTGCTGCAGACTGAAATCAGGGTGAAAACATGGAGGTCAGAGGTCAAAGCTTTTTCTTGTTAACTGGGGTTTTAGTCATAATCAGATTTTCTCAGATTTTCCCTGGAGGCAAATAAATCTTCATGATCTGTGGATCCTGACGTCTGTTCAGACATTTACAGGTTTTTTATTAGTTTTCTTATTAGCGTGAAACATAAAATATAATCACCATTATACAAACAATCACATAGCTATGTCCATACATACATGTTTATGTACCTAAATGAGTATAAAAAGGAGGGGAAAAGAGGTTTTCTAAGGATTCAAGTGCTGGAAAACCTGGATCAAAGTTTTCCTACATGTTGGCTGCTCCTTTAACTAAGACAGCGGTGCCTGTGTTGCTTTTGCAGCATGATTTGTCCTTTTATACTTCAGCCGGGCTGAAAACCATCAAATTAATGTGCTAAACATGCTGGGAAATGCATTCCTGCACTCTTGTAAAGTGACCCACTTCCAGTATTCCCTCACAGAGACTCCATCAGCTTCCCCGATGTTCCCAGTCTGTGCTGCACATCTATAACGCTGCGTATTGCACCAGGAATCCCACGACTGGCTGCTGCTGACGTTCACAGCTAACACGGGATCTGCGCTTCAGCCGTCTATCTGGGAACCAGCTGACAAGTCGAGGCTTGTGAAGCGTTCCAGGGAAAATCGGGCTGTTTCACCGCGGGAGTGCCAAATACAAACAACGCAGGGAGGGAGAGTGACACAGACCCATGTGGGGGAGACAAAATGGCAGCTGCGTTTTCACAAAGTGCTCTTCACCATGAATGGGCTGTTCGGCTCAGATCGCTTTAGTGACGGCGACAGCATGGCGTGAAAGGCCGACAGCTTCCAAAATAAGGACGCGCACTCGTCCTTCAAATCCGCTCACCCGGTCACGTTCAGCCTCTTCTTGTTTCTACGACGACAGCGCTGCTGAAAAACATCAGAGGAGATCCACTCGTACGAAAACTAACGACGCCGACGATAACCAGCCCGGCGCGTCGCTGCAGACGCTTCAAATGTTTGGATCAGGTGTTCATGTGCTGCACTCGATATGAACAGCGCCGTGTTCACCTCCTCCCGCTGATACACAACGCACACAGGTATGCACAAGCTCCTCCCTCAGCAGGTGAAGAAATTCAAGTGCACAACAATGAACAACGAGGAATCCAAGAGATGGCGCTTCAAAAAACATAAATGTTAATCATTAAGAATAACCTGATACCTGCAGCTCCATCTACCGTGGCGACCGCTCCCACCTGCTCTATGGGAAACA